AAGGAAACCTGACAGGAAAGCGTCACCAGGGGGCTGGCAAAGCTATCACGGTGTTGCCAGACTGGCTGCTGGTTTTCCCACAAGCGGCAGAACGCCCTTCAAAGGATTCTCCGGGGACATTGATCAAAAGTAGTAATCGTTTGGTAATGGGAGTTTTGGCGGGTTTTGACATGTTGGGAGGGGGGTCAGCAAACAGAAGTGCTGATGGACTCTGTGATGGGTCCTTGTCATTGTGGGACAATGTAACAAAGGCTGGAGTGGTTATAACAGCACTCGTGTCCTCAACGTGCGATAAAATACGCGCACTTCATGTGGCAGACAGTCACAGTGAAATAACATACGCACACTTCTTAGAGGCAGACAGCCACTTCCACACTAATGGGAACTGGTGGTTGGTATATACGCAAGGTTGGGTTTCAAAGTGACATCGCACTTTTGCATTTTGTTAGTGATTTGCTGTTAGTCTTTAAAAACATACACAACCAACGTGATTGAGATTTTGTTCTTATTTGTTTTTGGAGACGGGGGCACGGGCGTAGGCGAAGGGTAGGTGTGCATGAACAATTAGTAAGAAGAGTTTAAAAAATAGCTTGCCTGTCAATGACTGTCTGTTTCCATGAAATTAAAACAACCATATCGTAACTCGAACTCTATGATGTGAAATGAAACCAAACAATAGCAACAACAACAACAAAACAAAACAACCGAAAAACCAACTATCTGGTTCTGCTTTAATTTTTTTTTTACATCAGGCTTGTTCGTTTTTTAATAATATTTAGGCTTCTTGTTTTTGTTTTGGGGTAAAAAAAAAACATCCACAAAATTACATCGGAGTTGTATGTTAAACAATTTTTTAAAAATCTTGTTTTGATTTATGCTGAAGACTGCTGAAAACAAACCCGAAAAGACAATCATCAAAACACAGACAGAAAGATATGCCTAAAATGTTGGTTGGTTGGCCACTCATGCCCCAGCTGTGTTTGACACACCCCAGAGCTGTGAGCCGCCGTGCAAAAGATGCTTGGGCCAGTTTTACAAGCAATAACAGTCAGGTTTATGTCCACACGGCCCAGTTTATGTCAAACAGGCAGCTTTACGGACATTAAAACGCGTGTTGTTGAGTTTCAAACAGACGTTATCACGAAGCGCACATTTTAATCATATCTCTCATCAAGTTTAGATTAAGACTTTCTGTGATTTGATCTTCTCTTTTGGGAGGGAGCGTGGGCATGGCCATGTGAAGTGAAAGAACAAAAAACTATGAAAAGAGGTCAAAATAACGGGTTACAGTTTGGCAAACGACGTTAACGTCCTGTTTTTGGAAGTTCTCTGCTCTCGGTTACTCATTGCGACAAATGAGGTCGCTTTGGAATATTCAAAGCAAGCAGACGAAACAAAAATGTGGACGTCATTTGGATTACATATATCTAAAACTCCTTCGAATTAGCTGATTTTTTGGGGTTTATCAGTTGTGCCACGACAGTCAGGAGACAAAAGACAGCAACATAACCTTTTGAGATGGACCCAAACCTACAGTATTAGCCTAGGAAATATATCCGCTGTTAACTGTGTGAAAACGTAGCGGACACAAATAATATGTCCGATCAGCGGCAGATCAACAGGATCGTTGTTGCACATTCTGAAACTTTCTTGGTAATGCAGGTGTTTTTTTACGCCTACATCGGCACGCTTTAGTTAAGCTAGGGCCAACCTGGATAGAGAGGGATACAATATCGCACCAGAAAAACCGAAATACTCGATAAAAAGTGTTCTCCCCACTTGAGAATCGAACTCGGGTCTCCTGTGTAAGACAGCGAAGCGCGTAACCACTACATTACAGACGCTGGCGCACGTTTTGAACCCTCATGAATTAACCGGACACATATTTCATTATTATAATGCATGTAATTGTCTGCCTTTTTAGTATTCAGATAAAGAAAACAGAATGGAAGAATTTGTATTAAATTATAAGAAAGTTTTGCGTCTTTTTTAAAGTACTCAAAAAACAGCACAGGCTTCAAGCGTGACGGGTCCTCGGTGGGTCAAAGAAAGAATAACGTCACATGACAACAAAGCTCGTAAACGTAGAGAGGTTCTCTTCAAACCGCATCAGGAAGCCAAGTAACCTTCTTCCCTGTTTGTCACATGGGCTACAAATTATATTTACAGACAGAAAGTGTTCAATTACAGTCTAAATTAATTTGGTATGGAATTTTCGCGCCCTTTCAGGAATATTTTCCTTTCAGTCTTGACTCCAGACGAGGGGCTAAGCTTCGCGCTAAAAATAGAAACTTGTGTTTAGTGTTTATTAAAAGGGTAAACGCCATAAACACACACCATCAAACAGAAATTGACCGACTAATTCGTATATCCCAAACCCATCTAACCTCTTCTAAACCTGGATTGCTGAGTGCCAGGAGTTTGGAAAAGAAAGAAATCAGTCTCCTCCGTGCCCTGTCTCAGTCTCAAGATAACATTATTGAATTTTCATTCTGCAAATTTCTCTCTCTCTCTCTCTCTCTCT